AAAAATGACGGGATGGATAATGAGAACCTTCAAAACTAGGGAGGCCAACCCCATGATGACACTCTTCAGGTCACTTGTTCTATCTAGGCTGGAATATTGCTGCACTCTTAACAGCACCTTTCAAGGCAGGTGAAATTGCCGACCTAGAAAATGTACAGAGAACTTTCACGGCGCGCATAACGGAGATAAAACACCTCAATTACTGGGAGCGCTTGAGGTTTCTAAACCTGTATTCCCTGGAACGCAGGAGGGAGAGATACATGATTATATACACCTGGAAAATCCTAGAGGGACTAGTACCGAACTTGCACACGAAAATCACTCACTACGAAAGCAAAAGACTTGGCAGACGATGCACCATCCCCCCAATGAAAAGCAGGGGTGTCACTAGCACGTTAAGAGACCATACAATAAGTGTCAGGGGCCCGAGACTGTTCAACTGCCTCCCAGCACACATAAGGGGGATTACCAACAGACCCCTGGCAGTCTTCAAGCTGGCACTGGACAAGCATCTAAAGTCAGTTCCTGATCAGCCGGGCTGTGGCTCGTACGTTGGTTTGCGTGCAGCCAGCAGCAACAGCCTGGTTGATCAGGCGCTGATCCACCAGGAGGCCTGGTCACAGACCGGGCCGCGGGGGCGTTGACCCCCGAAACTCTCTCCAGATACCAGATTCCAGATACTTGCTCCATGTAAAATTGTCACACTATGGTATAAGAGGGCACTCCCTCAACTACCTCAAGTCATACCTCAGCAACAGAAGCCAATATGTGTACGCAAATGGGGCAAACTCTTCTGCACAACCAATTACAGTTGGTGTCCCACAGGGAAGTGTCCTTGGCCCTCTTCTTTTTCTCCTATACATAAATGACCTACCAAATGCTTCGCAATTACTCAAACCCACACTATTTGCAGATGACACAACATACGTCTTCTCCCACCCAAGCCCAGTCACGCTAGCCAATACTGTAAATACCGAATTACAGAAAATATCTACCTGGATGAGGACTAACAAACTTACACTAAACATTGACAAAACCTACTTCATTCAGTTTGGTAACAGAGCTACAGATGTCCCTCTTAACATAATGATAAACGGATCACCTATCACAAAGCTACAGAGGGAAAATTCTTAGGAATCCACCTTGATAATAGACTCAAATTTCATACACATATACAACAAATTTCTAAGAAAATTTCCAAGACTGTAGGCATAAGAGAGAAGATACGGTACTATGCTCCACAGTCAGCCCTCCTGGCCCTATATCACTCTTATTTACCCCTATCTCACCTATGGAATTTGTGCATGGGGCTCAACAACAAGTAACCATCTCAGACCACTAATTACCCAACAAAAGGCTGCAGTTAGAATAATAACAAATTCTCACTACAGGCAGCACACTCCACCAATATTCAATACACTAAACCTACTCACCATACAAAACATCCATACTTATTACTGCACCTATTACATACATAGAACACTTAACTCTGATATTAACCCTCCCCTCAAACATCTCCTTGCCAACCTCAACAGAACACATGACCATAACACAAGGCACAGATCACTCTTTGATGTTCCTCGTGTCCATCTCACACTATGCAAAAACTCAATGCACATAAAAGGCCCTAAAATCTGGAATTCATTACCTGTAAATATAAAATAAACACTACCTGTTTATAAATTCAAGTCTCTTCTCAAAGATCACTTACTCACCCAAAACCAAATAAATACTGAATAATAGAACCTTATAAATTGTATATCTTAAATGTTTCTCACAATTATATCACATAAATGTTAAACCTAAAACCCAATCTAACTTTATTATTTTTTAAATACACTACCTAACAGAATACTCCATTCTACTGAATGTACAACAATGCATGCAACCATATGACCTGTCTTTGTAATACTCACTTGTGCTTTATAGTAATCTGTTTACATTAATGTTTTATCATCATTGCTTAGTTAATCTTAAGTTAATTTTAAGCCAGCCCGTAATGCTATGCATAGTATAAGTGGCTTTGGCATGTTGCTCTTATCTTTATTTTTTTGTACCTCTGTATGTGTGCTCAAATTGTTAATAAATAAATAAATAAATAAACAGAGATCACCCCAGGAGGCAGCTCAGATGAAAATTCACACACACACGAACTATTAATTTTCTGCAACAAATTCACCTTAAACCAGCAAATAGTACAGCCTACAAGACTAGAAAATACGCTGGACCTCATCTTCACTAACAATGATGATCTGATACTTAATATAACTGTATCAAAGACAATTCACTCAGATCACAACATAATAGAGGTATAGACATGTATGCACAGGGCTCCTGACCAGCAAAATGTGAGCAGTCATGAAGATCTCTTCACAAAATTCAATTTCAATAACAAAAACATACAATGGGATCAAGTAAACCATGTCCTAAATGAAACAAGCTAGGAAGATATCCTAAACAACACGGACACGAACATTTGCCTTGAAAAAATGAATTCTGTGGTTATTGGGATCTGCTCAAGACACATTCCATTAAGAAAAAGAAAGAAAATGTAAACTAGAAAAGACGTTCCCTATACAGACGAAGGTGAAGAGTCACAAAGCTGCTGAGTGGGGTCAATATATCTGAAAAAGTAGGGAGGCACTAGTCAATGAAATTGCAAATATCGAACTTAAGCTGAAGGAATCTTATAGGAGACAAGAATCACGGGAAGAACAAAAAGCCATAAAGGAAATTGAAAAAAAAAAATACTTCTTCTCTTACGCCAAATCTAAGGGAAAAAAAATATCCAGTATTGGGCCCCTGCTTAGGCGAGATGGGACATACACAGATGATAGCCAAAAAATGAGTGAGATACTCAAGTCGCAATATGACTCAGTGTTCAGCAAGTCACTGCCCACTCTAAGGGTCAACAATCCAAATGAATTCTTTATGAATGAAACCCAAAATTTGGTCATCCTAAAAATCTCGGATATTATTCTAACTACACAAGACTTTGAAGAGGCAATTAATAATATGCCCATGCACTCTGCCCCAGGCCCAGACTCGTGGAACTCCATCTTTATCAAGAATTGCAAGAAGCCCCTATCGTGTGTCTTCAGCATTTTATGGAGAGGGAGCATGGACACAGGGGTTATCCCACACACACACTAAAAACAACAGACATAGCCCCACTCCACAAAGGTGGCAGTAAAGCAATTGCAAAGAACTTCAGACTGATAGCACTAACATCCCATATCATAAAAATCTTTGAGAGGGTTCTAAGAAGCAAGATTGCCAACCACCTAGATACCCATCAGTTACACAACCCAGGACAACACGGGTTTAGAGCAGGTCGCTCCTGCCTGTCCCTAGTTGCTGGACCACTATGACAAGGTCCTGGATGCTGTAGAGGATAAACAAAATACAGATGTAATATACACAGACTTTGCAAAAGCTTTCGACAAGTGTGACCATGGTGTAATAGCACACAAAATGCGGGATAAAGGAATAACGGGAAAGGTTGGTAGATAGATCTACAACTTCCTGACAAATAGAACACAAAGAGTAACAGTAAACAGAGTAAAGTCTGAGGCAGCCATGGTAAAAAGTTCTGTTCCACAAGGCACAGTACTCGCTCCCATTCTATTCCTCATCCTCATTTCTGACATAGACAGAGATGTAAGCCATAGCTCAGTGTCTTCCTTTGCGGATGACACCCGGATCACCATGACAGTGACCTCCATCGAAGACACTGCGAGACTCCAAGCGGACATCAACCAAATCTTCGAATGGGCCCCTCAAAACAATATGAAGTTCAACGAAAAGAAATTTCAACTACTCAGATATGGAAAACTTGAAGAAATTAAAAATGTGTCAGGGTATACCACAAATTCTAACCATACAATAGAGCGGAAAAGTAATGTGAAGGACCTGGGAGTGATAATGTCAGAGAATCTCGAATTCAAAGACGACAACAATGTATCTACCTCATCTACTAGTAAAAAATGATAGGATGGATAATGAGAATCTTCAAAACTAGGGACGCCAAGCCCATGATGATTCTCTTCAAATCGCTTGTGCTCTCTAGGCTGGAATACTGTTGTACACTACCGGCCTCCTTCAAGGCTGGCGACATTGCAGACCTGGAGAGTGTACAAAGAACTTTCACAGCATACATAAGTACGATAAGGCATCTAAACTACTGGGAACGGTTGAAGGTCCTTGATCTGTATTCCCTCGAATGCAGGCGAGAGAGATATATGATAATATACACTTGGAAGGTCCTGGAGGGATTGGTACCAAACTTGCACACGAAAATCACTCCATACATACATAAGGGGGATTACCAACAGACCCCTGACAGTCTTCAAGCTGGCACTGGACAAGCACCTAAAGTCGGTTCCTGATCAGCTGGGCTGTGGCTCGTACGTTGGTTTGCGTGCAGCCAGCAGTAACAGCCTGGTTGATCAGGCTCTGATCCACCAGGAGGCCTGGTCACAGACCGGCCGCGGGGGCGTTGACCCCCGGAACTCTCTCCAGGTAAACACATAAAAGCAAAAGATTCGGCAGGAGATACAACATTCCCCCGATGAAAAGCAGGGGCGCCATGAGTACACTGAGAGACAACACAGTAAGTGTCAGGGGGCCAAGACTGTTCAACTGCCTCCCAGCATACATAGGGGGTTACCAATAGACCCCTGACTATCTTCAAGAAGACACTGGGCAGGCACCTAAAGTCAGTACCTGACCAACCGGGCTGTGGTTCGTACGTCAGCTTCCGTGCGGCCAGCAGTAACAGCCTGGTTGATCAGACCTTGATCCACCATGAGGCCTGGTCTCAGACCGGGTCACGGGGGCGTTAACCCCCGAAACTCTCTGCAGGTACACTCCAGGGTGTTAGTGATAAGTAAGAAAGTTGACTCTAGGATGATGTACTAACAAACATGGTGTAATATAAGACACAACTTGAAAATCACTTAAAACAAGAATTAAGAAGAATGACAAGTGTGCGTCACTTACCCGGGTGATGCAGCAAGTGTTGTACACTTGACTCACCCTCCAACAACACTGTAATAATAAAACTGAGCCACAAAATAAGGGAATAATGAAGACGGTGCGGCAGCGCAGCTTCCCTCCAACGACTCAGTTTTAACATGAACAAAAATTCTTGTAATATAACTTTTTTTTATCTAGCTTTGACTTCATAACTTCTGAAAACTGACAGTTTATTTTGTTATTATTTAAATAACACTGAATTATTACCATTATTCTAATTATAAGATGAGTGGAAATATATTTTTTACTTGTAAATGCCATCATTTCTGTTTCCTAGAATTACAAATTTCAGATTAATGCATCTACTAAAAAAATATCTAATAACTAGATTATATAATATACATTATGTTATAGTAATATTGTCGCTTTCATCTTTGTTTATACAACAAAATTATAACGACAGTTAAATGTCATTTGAAGAATGGTTGTGTTCACATCTAAGATCTTAAATCAGAAGCCCAAATTTCATCTCATAAACAAATAACTAATTCAGTCCAAATTGGACCATTTACAGTTCTTCGTGTCAATATTAATTTATTGTAACGATCTATGTCCTCTTTATCTTTTTACCAGGCAAAAATTATGATTTATTCAATTTTACAGCAGGAAACAAGAAGAGGAGTAATGAACGCGGCCTAAATTCTAACTTGCTGGTGCGGGTGAACGCGGCTTTATATCAGGATTGCAACACTTTATGAAAGATTTTATTTCCGCCTTAAACCTAATTTTAAACTTTTAAAATGGTTTTAGTGAATTGTGCAGAATTTACTTAGTGATAACCCAATAAAGTCAAACAATATGACTTACTTCCTGCAAGAAACAAAGCGACTATTTCCACTTGTTACTATATAAGACAGTTATATACCAGGTGGGCGTTTCAGACGTCAACGCCCCCGCGGCCCGGTCTGAGACCAGGCCTCATGGTGGATCAGGGCCTGATCAACCAAGCTGTTACTGTTGGCCGCACGTAAACCGACGTACGAACCACAGCCCGGCTGGTCAGGTACCGGTTTTAAGTGCCTTCTTGAAGACATCCAGGGGTCTATTGGTAATCCTCCTTATGTATGCTGGGAGGCAGTTGAACAGTCTTGGGCTCCTGACACTTACTGTATTGTCTCTTATCGTGCTAATGACACCTCTGCTTTTCACTGGGGGAATGTTGCGTGGTCTGTCGAGTCTTTTGCTTTCATAGGGAGTGATTTTCGTGTGCAAGTTTGGTACTAATCTCTCTAGGATTTTCCAAGTGTATATAATCATGTATCTCTCCCGCCTGCGTTCCAGGGAGTAGAGGTTCAGGAAGTTAGGTAAGACACATATGCAACAGTTAGGTATCTTTATTATGAAACGTTTCATAATAAAGATACCTAACTGTTGCATATGTGTCTTACCTAACAACCTGTCGGTATTTTATACCATTTTAATGTTCAGAGGTTCAGGAACTTTAAGCGCTCAAACTAACTGAGGTGCTTTATAGCCGTTATGCGCGCCGTGAAAGTTCTCTGTACATTTTCTAGGTCAGCAATTTCACCTGCCTTGAAAGGTGCTGTTAGATAAGATAAGATAAGATTTTGTTCGGATTTTTAACCCCGGAGGGTTAGCCACCCAGGATAACCCAAGAAAGTCAGTGCGTCATCGAGGACTGTCTAACTTATTTCCATTGGGGTCCTTAATCTTGTCCCCCAGGATGCGACCCACACCAGTCGACTAACACCCAGGTACCTATTTGCTGCTAGGTGAACAGGACAACAGGTGTAAGGAAACGTGTCGAATGTTTCCACCCGCCGGGAATCGAACCCGGGCCCTCCGGGTTCGATTCCCGGCGGGTGGAAGCAAGTGTGCAGCAATATTCCAGCCTATTATTATTATTATAATCAAGGGGAAGCGCTAAACCCGGAGGATTATACAGCGCCTGGGGGGGGGGGGATGTGGAAGGCATTCAGGCTTAATTCGGGGAACTGGAGCACAGATCCAATTTCCTAAATCAAGAGCCCCTCACCAACATCAAGGAACCTTCCTTGAGGGGATATTCCAGCCTAGATAGAACAAGTGACCTGAAGAGTGTCATCATGGGCTTGGCCTCCCTAGTTTTGAAGGTTCTCATTATCCATCACGTTATTTTTCTAGCAGATGTGATTGATACAATGTTATGGTCCTTGAAGGCGAGATCCTCTGATGTTATCACTCCAAGGTCCTTTACATTAGTTTTTCGCTCATTTGTGTGGTTTAAATTTGTTTTATAATGCGATAGTTTTAATTTCCTCACGTTTTCCATATCGGAATAACTCAAATTTCTTATCGTTGAACTTCATATTGTTTTCTGCAGCTCATTTAAAAATTGGGTTGATGTCCGCCTGGAGTCTTGCAGTCTTCAATGGAAAAGACTGTCATGGAGATTCGAGTGTCATCTGCAAAATAAGACACGGTGCTGTGGCTGACATCCTTGTCTATGTCAGATATGAGGATGAGGAACAAGATGGGAGCGACTACTGTGCCTTGTGGAACAGAGCTTTTCACAGTAACCTCCTCAGACTTTACTCTGTTTACTGTTACTCTGTGTTCTGTTTGTTAGAAAATTATAGATCCATCTACCAACTTTTCCTGTTATTCCTTTATCATACATTTTGTGAGCTATTACACCATGGTGACACTTGTCAAAGGCTTTTGTAAAGTCTGTGCATACTACATCTGCGTTTTGTTTGTGTTCGAGAGCATCCAGGACCTTGTCGTAGTGATCCAGTAGTTGGGACAGTGGAAATAAATGGTATCAAATACCGACACAGTGGAAATATAAACACATATGCAGTATAATGTGATCCTTTATTGGGACAGGCAGGAGCGACCTGCTCTAAACCCGTGTTGCCCTGGGCTGTGTAGTTGATGGGTATCTAAATGGGTGGCGATCTTGCTTCTTAGAACACTTTCAAAGATTTTTATGATATGGGATGTCAGCGCTATCGGTCTGTAGTTCTTTGCTATTGCTTTACTGCCATCTTTGTGGAGTGGGGCTATGTCTGTTGTTTTTAGTAACTGTGGGACGACCCCAGTGTCCATGCTCCCTCTCCATAGGATGTTAAAAGCACATGATAGGGGCTTCTTGCAGTTCTTGATGAACACGGAGTTCCATGAGTCAGTGCCTGGGCACTTCGGTGGCAAAATCTAAAAATGGGCCTGGGGTAGAGTACATGGCCATGTCATTGAACATAAGAACATAAGAAAGAAGGAACACTGCAGCAGGCCTACTGGCCCATACGAGGCCGGTCCAAGTCTCCTACCGGCTTAATGCAATTGCACGTTTTCACAATCCATTTAGATCTGTGTGTATTTACCTCTAGACACTTGGTAAGATTCACTGTGACAGTGTCTGGTTCGTTTCTCAACATTCTAATACCGAGTACAGTGTTAATTTCAACAATCCTATCACTGAGAAATACCAAGCTCCTTCCTCATGTTAAGAACTTTTGTAGATCTGGGACAGCCAAGAATAATCCTGAGAGCTTCATTTTGCATTAACTCCAAGGGTCGGAGAGAACTTTCTCTAGCTAATATCAACATGGGAGCAGCATAATCAATTAAGGACCTAACATAGGCTATGTACATCATTCTCACGATTCTCACATTTGCACCATAGTTGGGATTGTAGCCAGCAACAGCTTTGAGAGCATTTAGCCTAGCTTTACATTTCTTGTTTAGTTGTGGTATAGTGGATTTGTTAAAGGGTACATCTACACCAAGATATCTGTAAGTTTTAACATAGCTAATGATTTCACCCTGCAAATAGATGGGTGGGGGATGTCGTTTGCTTGTTAATATCTTAGTTTTAGAGAAAGATATTATGAGGCCTAGTCGATTACAAATTGCTTGAACTTCATTAAGAATGGTATTCATCTTCTTATGCCCTGTTGTATGGATCATGATATCATCAGCATAGCTTATAGCTATATGTTTAGGTGAGGCAGGTAGAGCATTTAGGAGAGCATTAATCAGAATATTAAATAGCATGGGACTAAGAACTCCTCCCTGCGGTGTACCTAAAGACATTTCTTTAGAATCACTTCTGAAGCCTTGGTAAAGGACAGAGGATACTCTATTTGACAGGTATCCTATTATCCAGCAGAGTAAGCTACCACCAATATTCATTTTGGCTAGTTCATGTAGTATAACGGGTCAAAAGTTCTCGCAAGGCCGCCGACACGTGCCCCGCCCCTTTTGGTTCCACGTCAGCCCTCCTAATAACGCAGTTCCAGTCCCCACCAACGACGGCCACTGCAGGTAAACCACGTAAGAAGAAAACTAGTTTTTCACATACAAAATCCCTTTTTATCCTCACATCATTTTCTGCTGGTGCATACACACTTACAAAAGATACCCTCTGCCCCATCCACCACCCATCCACGCACAATACTCTTCCCCCCCTCCCCCTCACTTCTTAGCAACACAAACGGGCTTGCCTCCCTGATCAATATACCCACACCACCTTTCAGACGTGCAGATGGCAGAGTCATGACCTGAAACCCCTCCACCTCGAGCACTCTTCCCTCCTTGAAATTGTGTTCTTGCAGGAACACTACATCCACCCTATATTTATACAGAAACATTCGAAACCATTCCTTCTTCACACTATTACACAGTCCATTTACATTCACAGTCATACACCTAAGGCCTCTTTATAGTTTCCAACCCTTCCTCCTCTTCATTCATCCCAGGGCCTCCTGCCCCAGAGCCAGCACAAGGCTTCACACCATCAACCCCTTCCCCCTTTTTTTGCGATGCCTCTTATCGTGACTACTTCGACATTGCTCTTCCTTCCTCCCAGACCTCTGCGCCGGCGTCAGGACATCATCTGAGTCTGACGCCGCCGCTCTCTTCCTCGTGATGCCCTCTACATCCATGTTATCTTCTGAGGTTCCATCACGATGTACCTCAACCTCCGCCACGCCTCGTTCCACAGCACACGGCGACAGCTCACTCTTACTAGTTGGCCCGTCAACCCTCCTATGGTTTTTATCCTTACATTCCTCTACAGGCAACGCCGTGCCTCTCACCAGCTCAGGAACATCCTCTGCAGGTGGCGTCAATGTCCTTAACACTTCCTGAAGCTCCTCCTC